CTCGGCCAGAGGTTGACAGAGTGTCTTCATCTGTCACTTTCTACTTCATCTTTTGAGATAGAGTCTCTCACTGATCCTGGAGCTCACAGATTGGCTGCAGTTGGCCCAGTGAGTCCCCGGGATAACTGCTATCTCTGCCTCCCAGGACTGGGAGGCCTTTTATATGGGTGCTAGGTATCCAAACTCAGGTCTTTTTGTATAGACAGCAGGTGCTTTTCCCATTGCAACATCTCTACTACCCCTAGAATTAATCTATTCTTAGTCTCCAAGTGTAGCACAAAGTAAAGTCATCAGTGAAAGTTCATGTAATTATTTGGTAGAAAATTCAGTGTAAATAGTATAATTAATTGATACTACCAACCAAAAAGTTAATGTGAATTGTATATTTTTTTCATTCTTAGATGTTTGTTGAATGTCAGCTGTGTGTAAAATGTTAGCTAGTGCTGGGGAAAGGGGATACAGTGACAAAGTCCCAGTCTGGTGGAGGATTCAGACTGTTCAGCAGGCCACTGTGAGACTTTCTGATAATTCCGAAGGCACATGTGTGCTGTGTGAGTGACTAAAAGGACAGAATGCATTTGAGGAACTTGTAGAGTCTGCAAGGCCTGGAGTGTGTGGGCCTCTGGGAGGCTGGGGCAGTGAACAGAACGAGAATCACATGGTTCCTTCAGGTCAGATACAAAAGTGTTTGATAATGTGCGAGAAATATTCCTTGGTTTCATATGTATTTCAGTCTCTGAGTCCTATGATTATTTAAAAAATTCTACACTGAATGAATTGTTTACAATTTGTATTTACATTTATGTGTATTTTGGAATATTTATATGCTGTCAAAATTTCTGTCTTTAAGCAACGAAGTGGCGAATCTGTTAAAGTGCACCAACTTGATGTTGCTGTTCCTTTGCATCTCAAAAGCCAGCTGAGGAAAGGGCCCCCACTTGGTGGGGGGGAAGGAGAGGCAGAGTCTGCAGACACCATGCCATTTGTCATGTTAACAAGAAAAGGCAACAAACAGCAGGTAAGATACTGTCCACTGTGCAGTTACAGTTGTTAGTTACCAAGTGTAAGGGATACCTTTAATTCTAAGTTATCTTTCTCCTGCAAAAAGAGAATGGAAACTTCAAGTATTCCACCCAAATATTATCCATTTGTATATATGGAAGATTCATTGATGTTTTACAGAAAAAATACATTTTAATGGCAAGGACATTTAACTTCTAAGTTCATGCATGTCTGTAAGAATATGTAAATGCCTTGACTTTAAGTAGAAAGTTGTATAAGGAATCTCAGTATGGGGAAGAAAAGGAGGTTGTTGACTAACAAAAAAAAATACTCAGCTGCCGAGATTCCCTAGAAAAGTCCCTGCCTTCTCTTGCTGACTTAGTATATGCTCTGTGTGCTACCAACTTCTTCCCTTACTTTACACACAGTCCCTCAGACCCTTCCCCTTGCTTCTAAACTTTTACTTTAGGGATTCATGTGCTGGATGTTTCCTGAGCATCAGCTGTGTGCCACATACTTGTCTGGGTTCTCAGACTACAGTAGCACACAGGGTGAAATACCTGCCCTCGTGAGTTTTGTTTTCTATTAGATAACAAAACACAGTATGACAAGGATGAGGGCCAGCTCTCAGACACAACTCAAGGATGTGCATATTTCAATGTCATTCACGTAAGCCATTTGTATATTTTGTTTTCCTGCTAGTTAGTTACCAGGCCCTTTGTGCAGAACACAACAGTAGTTAACCAAGCCCTTCTTCTCTTAGGAGCTCTCAGTGTGGTTTTGGGAGGCATATGATAAAGAAATTCATAATACCAATCTGGGGAAATGTGAAGGGAAATAAGATAAGAGGAGAGAAAGATAGGGATAGGGAGAGACAGTGAAAGAGAGGCTGCTGTTTTAGATACATAGTCAGCGAGACTTGCAGTG